TTTGTATAGCATTTGTATATTTCTATGTCGAATACAAAGTTATAGTGCCCATTCATTTTCCAACTCTGTCAAAAAAAATCAGTGTGTCTAATCAAATATGCAAAAGGCATAAAAGCAAATGAAAAGTGAATCATCTTTTAATAATCCTACAGTTAAAATAGGTTCCTCAGAAAATCAAAAATCTCCAGCAGTTATTAGTTAGCACATGTGAAAAAGTTGTCCACAGTTACGTGATCACTGACATATAGACAGCGTCCTCTACCTTTAAAGCTTCATTTGTGCGAGCATTTTTTTTAATGCATATTAATGATCATGTAAAAATAGGACATGGATTAAACTTTGGGGTAATTATTGTAATCAGTAGGTGTGATGTTGTTCTCCTTCATTTTCCGGTTGTCTGCACTCACAAATCTGGTTGCTAGTGGTTGATTTCTGGTTTATTTTCAGAGGCGTCAGTGACAAGAACATTACAGATGTGAAGTCTGATAATGAGGAAAGACGCACATTTAGGTTTCTCTGACGGTAAAAAGACCATGGGCCTTTTCAGTCCAGGCCAACTAACTAAGAGAAGATCAGATTCAGAGCTAAATGTTAGCTTTCTCACTCCTTTGAGGGAAAATTCCTGTAACATTCTGCAAACATGTTTCATTTTCTACGTATCAGCTCTGGAAATGTTGTGCAAACATTAATATCTCAGACAACAGACAATTAAAAAAAAGTTTTAAAAACATGAAAAGGCCATTTTGTTCACTCTAGCCCCTCACTGCCAGCTCTATGCACCACAAACCAATGTTCCTCAATCTAACTTCTGCATTGTTTACCAGATATCTGTCAGGATGGCATTCTGTCTGACTTCATGCTAATCAGACTGAAGGAACATGTCTGAAAAACATGTCAGCATACACATGAAGCAATCTTTATTTTCAGAAAGTGCACTGTGCACTTCAAAAAGACAAGCAAACAAACAGTATTCTTTACATTTATTCAACTTAACTAAACATTTTTGCAGCCGAAAAGGTAAAGCAAACAGAACAACAATTTCTTTAGGAATTGTTAGGACCAATTTTTTAGGAAGACCTTTTTATTTTGTGACTCAAAGTTATCAGGGCTTATCTTTTAACTGGGACGAGAGGAAAGCTTTTTCTCTTGGAAGAATTTAAACTGTTTCGCTCATAGTTTAAATGTTTTGTCAGAATTAGATTTACGCCGAACATTATAATTTGCAGATGATTTAAATAGCATATCCATTTGTAAGTGGTCTCAAAACCAGCATTGAATGATTATGATTTCCAGGTCCTCGGTTTGAAGAAGACTCAATTCTGTGGTCCAAATCATTGCGTGGGCCCTGGAATACTCTTGGAAACCACAGTCAGTGAATGCAGTTCATCACTACGTCCACAAATGCAAATTGAAACCCTATCATGGAAACAGAAAGCATCCAGAAACACCACCACCCTATCTGGACCTTTAACTCTTTTACGATGGATGAGGTGAAGAAGAAAACTGTCCTGGGGTCTTTTTTTAAATAATGATAATGGACCATGTGGCTTGTTGTTAGTGGCCATTTCAAACTGAAGCAGTTGTGGATCCATGAATGCACACCGCATTTAAGGGCTTCTGTTAATGCTTCACAATAGATAGGCTTCACAGTATGGCCATCTACGTTATGACTTTCTCAGAAAGGCTCTTCTTAATTTATGGTTATGTGTGTATGCCACAGGCATTTAGTAACAACACTTTTAAAGATACCATTTTAAAACTCGTTCTTTGACCGGTTATCTATGTTTGGACACAATGACGGTTAAACTTTAAAATAGTTCTATTTTTATGTTTGAATTGAGTCATAGGTTACTGTTAAGTTTAAAAAAAACCCACTGATCATGGTCAGGAACATGAGCTTCCCTGAGAATGTTTGAAAAGCAAAAGACTTACTGATCAGTTCCTCTTTAAAAGTGTATAAAAAAGCTGAATGATTTAAAGAAATAGGGATTCTGTTCAAGACTTTAAAACAATACTGTTTTTTAAAGTTGACCAGCTAAGTCGGTGGCACCGTGTGATATCAAGGAAACACCTGTGACTGAATCCACCTGATTCAAATGTTGTGCTGGTTCACCTTTCATGTGTGACTCTCTACTCCTGAAAACATGTCAATAAACCGTAAGCATTTCAAGAAAGCCGCCGTCTGACAGTTGAACCAGCACCGATCAGCATTTGTGGCAGCAGTTCAGTTTGACACAAAAAACACAAGACGAACGAGCGGAGTTGTGCAATAACCGCGACACGGACAGGATAGCGGGGACTGCTGCCAGTGTTCCCTCTGTGATGAAAAATTCATTGGCCTGTGTGCCCTCTGTCTGTCAGCCTCTTCTGCTGTCATTTCCCCTCTTTGTCAGTCACCCTCTGATGTGCGCCTCGCCGCTACTATGAGTCAGCGTTGCCAAGCGGCTCCTGTCACACAAACAGAGCTGAATGAGGGAATCCCATGTTTTCTACTACCGTCTCTTCTTCCTCCAAAACTGTCCCCTTCCTCCTGTTGGGAATTCCTGCTGGCTCGCAGGCTCAAAGGAAAAGCAACAAGATCAAAGAGTCAAACTGAGATGATATTGTCTTTAATGTCGAAGATCTTTAACTTACTGCAGCGTGGTGGACTGTAAAAGTAACAGAGAGTGCAGAACAGAACTTCATGGGCTGATGGGGAGGGATGATAACAAGTGTTAACAGCAAATGGACACAGAGGGGCAGGAGGTCCGCTGTGGGGAGGAGGTGGAAATGGGGCAACTGCAGGGCGCTGTGGCTTGAACGGTCAAATTGAAGAGATTAGATAAATGTAACAGTGACACAAAACAGTTGCATAAAATGAGTGGACGACGGCGGTATCGGTGCGGAACGGGATACACGCGTAAAAGAGGGAAGTGAGGGGTAGTTTTCCGTTGAAATCTGTGCAGCTGTGGTGGGGAAGCAGCCTTGAAAACTGTCCCTCATTACAACTTCATCATCTGCAGTCAAACACGTCTCAAACTCGTCTCAAACTCAAAATTTTGTTTCATATTCATTCTGCTGTCTGAACGTGTGCAGACGTTTGTGGAAATGCAGAGGAAACAGCTGGTTTTGAATATATCTGGAGAGACAAACATCTGGAACGACCCAATGCACCGAGTTGTCCGAGTAAAGTTGCTTTTTAGATGTTTTTTAGGCGTGACAGTGCATCCCAAGTATCCCCAAACTGACACCCGCAGCACAGCCCGCTGCTTTGATGAGACCTCGGTCCAGTGGGGAGAGTGATGTGGTTCAACTGTGGCTGGATGGCTGGCTGGTTGGCCGGTCAGGCTACACAGGAATGTGGGGTCTTTTGTTTGTCTGGGAGAGGAGTGGGTCAGGGGGAGAATGCCATTGATGATTGCAGAGAGGAAGAATGAACCTCCAGGAAGTGTTCTCGCTGTCCCTGCTCCCCCACTCTCCCACTCTCATTCTCTCCGTCCCTCTATCTTTTTTTCTCTGTGTGAGAACCTTCACCGTGCCGAGCCTCTCTCTGCTGAGGCCACGGTCCCCAGGCACAACCACTGCTTTGTCTTGCCCTGTGAACACACACCCCTCCTCTACTGGGCGCCCGCTTTGCCAGGGCCAGAGAAACACGGGGCCGCGGCTTCTATTCTTATACCCGTCGCCGTCTATGCATGGATGGTGTCTAAGTCTCTGTGTGAGTGTGCGTCAAGCTCTGAATGGTAAATGTTGTTTTTTTTCCACACGCTTGACACTTTAAACATTTCCTTTACAGGGCTCTCCGTCATAAGCAAGCGGCATTTCATTTGTGTTTATTCTTTATAGTTCATTTATGCCTTTTTTTAAAAATCGGTCTCATTCAAAGAGCTTAATCATCGTGGCCGCAGAGCAGATATTCTCACTCCGTGATGGCTAGAGCCGGACTAAAAATGGAATAAAGCAGTGAGCGGATAAGAATCTAGCTGGTGGCCCCCTCTGACCGGTGGCTGCCGCCTCCCGTCACATTGCTCATTCCCCTCCGTGTCAGGAGGCTGCGAGGAGCGGCAAATGGCCCTTTCAAAACGGACGACAGCTGGAACACAGGGCAAAGGTGACTGAAGCAGTTGGGGGAGCACAGGGAGGGGCACGAGATTAGCAGCTGCAACTTGGAGCCCTTTCCCCCCCCCCCCCACTTTGTCACCATCTCTTGCTCTAACAACTGCAGAGAAGACTGTGGATGTTACTGAGCTGATATCAACTCCAAGAACCACAATGCCACTTTTATAGAAAAAGAAAACACTGGAAATCCATCAAATCACAGTCATTTATGTCCTATGACAATCTGTAGACACATTTTGGCATCCTGGGGCTGCTGTTATCTGGAAAGATAAAGGCACTTGGCAGTTTAATGCCAGGGAATTCCACATCTGAAAGCAGGATTAGAGAAAGCAGCCTTTGAAAGATGCCGAAAGACCACTGACCCTCCACAGTTAGCGACTTTAGATGGCTGATATGTGTTTGATCGGTCTAGATGCCACAGATACCGCTTCTTTGGCCCGAAAAAAAAGGGATTCTTTCATCCAAAGCAGATGTAAAAGCACATGCAACATTTTTGTGAAGCTTGTTAAATTAATCAAATTTAAAGTCTGGTTTTGAACTTCAAACAAGGTCTAGATACTTCCGAGAAAAGGGAAAAGAGCAAACTAGGCACATTTCCTCGAGCAAGTAACACATCTAGATATCTCTCTATCCATTCACCATGCCCATGTTTTCCCTCAGTGGAACATTTCAATTTGGGATTTATTTTTTTTTTCCTTCGGTCAAAGCCCCCCCGAGGTAAACACTTCTTAGAGTAGAAACACTTGTTTTCTGATTTCCATTTGCACTCCAAATGGCTTTTTAGTACACTGAAAGTACCTCTTGGTCGCGGGACAGGTGTTTTAATACGCCGGCTGATTGATGTACCTTTATGTAGTCTGCTACTTGCTGCCGCTGTGTGAATTCGCGGAGTAGTACAGAACTTATTGTGGCCGCCCGATATCGCGAGACTTGGGCCATTATCAACCTGCTTGACACACAGCAGCGCTGAGTGCAGCCTGCCTTCCCAGGGTCGGACTGGAGCTCAAGAAACGACAAGGCGAAGCGAACATCTGGCCGCACATCATGAAAGGACGTCGGGGCTTATAGGAGACAAAGACGACGACGCGGGCGGGAAATACGTGTGAGTACGGCGCTTTTGGGTCTTTGAAAAGGGGAAGAGAGCGAAAGTTAAAAGTGTCCCCTCGCCGCTTCGTTCAGCGCAGTTGGCTTTGCTGTGAGTTCCTCTGCTGTTAAAAGGCTCCCAGCAATGCGTTTCCCAACACAGACATGGAGCTCGGTTTACTGCGCCCTTGGCCCTCATGCCTCCCTCCACCCCCCCCCCCCCCCCCGTCTACTTTTTCTTTTTCTTCAGAAACAAAAAAAAAAAAATCGAACCTCTGCGCGTAAAATCAGACTTATGTGTGCGTATCCCCCCCTCCTTTAGCATCAAACTTTAATGATCTATTCACTTGAGTGTTTCTTGTTTTTTTAAACAGTGTTCTTTCTGTCTTAAATGAAGCTTTAAAAAAAAAAAAAAATCCCCCAGTTGTGCGCCTTAGTCTGCTGAGTGCGCAAAGAGGCTACAAAGCGTTTGATTCCACGCGCCGCTGTGTGATAAATAACTCTTTAAGATTAAGTTGGAAATGCAACTTGCCGTTGCTATAGACCCTAAGAATAAAAAAAGGCTTCCTGGTAAGTTGAGCGTCTTTTTTGGACTAACATATGGCGTAAAGCAGCACAGCTGGAGGTAGCGTTTCCATTGCGGTGATGTCAGAGCAGCTGACTCCACAGCTTGCAGTGTAATTAGCAAACAGAGCACCAGTTTACTCACTCTGCTCCGGGCTTATTTTTTATTCCCCGTTAGCCTCCTTCTCCTCCTGGACGGCCGCTCTCGCCCCCCCCCCCCCCTCCCTAGTCCCCAGTCCCCCTTTTTGCTGGTCCAGTTCTGCGCGTGTTTGGAGAAAAAAGCCGGTGCGTCATTTTTCGCTACGTTTCGGAAGCGCGAGACCACTTCGGAATAACCTGGGAGACTGGATCCGTTTTTTTTTTTTTCACTTTGAAACATGGGTGGGTGAGCCCAGCGCAGCGTATCCTGCACCACTGGAAAGAATGTAGAATTTACGCTCTCAAGTTTTAGGAAAGTTATTGATGTTGACCGTCAGAGGATTTAAGATCCTCCTGAACTGAGCTCCTAAACCGTGACTGCTTTTGTAATTTTGTGCTTAAAACCTCGGCACGGGTTAAACGACTTTCTTTTGTGTCATTTTCTGCTTTTTGACTGAAAGTTTCTGCTGCTTTTTGCTCCCCTTTGGCTTGGCACTCTGAGGCAGCAGCTTGCCCGTCCCAGTGTCTCACTCGGTTTATCCAGCATCCTGTTTTTCCTGTTTTTCACCAGGTTATGAAGGAAGAATGGAGTTCCCAGACCATAGCCGTCAGTTGCTGCAGTGCCTGAGTCAGCAGCGTCACCAGGGCTTCCTCTGTGACTGCACCGTTCTGGTCGGGGAGGCTCGGTTCAAAGCGCACCGGGCCGTGCTGGCCTCCTGCAGCATGTACTTCCACCTCTTCTACCGGGACCAGCTGGACAAAAGGGACGTCGTGCACCTCAACGGCGACATCGTGACGGCCCCGGCTTTCGGCCTGCTCCTGGAGTTCATGTACGAGGGCAAGCTGGAGTTCGGCGCTCTGCCCGTGGAGGACGTCCTGGCGGCGGCCAGCTACCTCCACATGTACGACATTGTCAAGGTGTGCAAGGGCCGGCTGAAGGACAAGGAGCTCTCCTGCCTGGACGAAAAGCTGGGCGAGGGTTTGGGCCTGGGCCTGGGCCTGGGGCTGGGGCTGGGCTGTCTGGACAGGGAGAGCTCGTCGGACGGCGAGCTGCACAGTAAGCAGCTCGTCCGGCGACAGACCCAGTCCCAGGGGCTTCACGGGGCCCCCCCCGCCCAAGGCTTTGACACGGACAACAGCGACGTCAGGCCGGCTGTCACAGATTGCGAGAGGTCCGCGCAGACCAGCAGGCAGAAGGCGAACGGTCACTCCGGCAGGTCCCCGGACCTTGTAGGTGTCAGTTATGTGTCAGCGGAGGGCGAGCCCCGCGTCCAAACAGCTGGAAAAACAAAAGCCGATGTCAGGAGCTCGGCCGCGCCGCCGTCCCAGAGGTCCCGGGCTTCGGATGACATGGACTGCGCGCTGGATTTGTCTTTCAAGCCTCTGTCTAGCAGAGATCCCTCGCGCCCCTCCCACGTCTCGGGACAGCTGGCCCTCGACAGCCAGCAGCAGGGCACTGAGCCACTTGTTAAAGACGAACACGACTCGCTGTCAGAGCGGGAGGACAGTGAGCCGACGAGCCCCGAGAGCCAGCGCTTTGGGAATAGCGCCAGGGGCTCGGTGGTGACAGGGTTCGCTGCCCTCTTCCCGGGCAACAACGCCGCCGCCGCCGCCGCCCTGCTCTCCCGGGAGGAGGACCTGATGGACGAGGAGGGGGAGGCCTGCCGGGGGAGGGAGGGCGGCCCCGGGCGGGAGGCGGACGGGAGGGGCCGGCCGCCGGGGGACAGCGAGGAGGAGGAGGAGGACGACCTGGCCTCCTCGGACATCTCCACGTCCAGCGGGGCGCTGCTGGCCCCGGGGCAGCGGGTGTGCGTGTGCCCGCTGTGCAGCAAGGTCTTCCCCAGCCCGCACGTGCTCCAGCTGCACCTGAGCGCGCACTTCCGCGAGAAGGACGGCGCCCGCGCCAAGCTGTCGCCCGACGGCTCGGTGCCCACCTGCGCGCAGTGCAACAAGACCTTCTCCTGCATGTACACGCTCAAGCGCCACGAGCGCACGCACTCGGGCGAGAAGCCCTACACGTGCGGCCAGTGCGGCAAGAGCTTCCAGTACTCGCACAACCTGAGCCGCCACGCCGTGGTGCACACGCGCGAGAAGCCGCACGCCTGCAAGTGGTGCGAGCGCCGCTTCACGCAGTCCGGGGACCTCTACCGCCACATCCGGAAGTTCCACTGCGGCCTGGTCAAGACTCTGGCCATCGGGTAGTAGAGGAGGCAGAACGCCCTCTAACCCCTCCCCACATACACACACACTTACACACACAGGTTTTCGGCTAGCAAAGGCCGTTTCCCGCTTTTGGATTCTACCCCGTTTTTTGGGGCGTTTGTGACGTTTAAAAGATGTAGCGGCTTTTAAATGTGGAGTCGTTTTTGCGTGCCGGTCAGAGGCGGTCAGGTGTAGGTGTGTGTGGGGGGTGGGGGGGGGGTCAAGGGTGAAAGGGGTGCTATGAAACTCAAGCTGGATCCGTGTCACTGAAGGTTAACAAATCAGATGATGCACTTGTTTGTTTGTTTTTTTGTTTTGTTTTTCCGTCTTGTTTGTGTCGGTCTGAGTTTATCTGAGGAGGGCGATGGCTAATGGCTAATGCTAACGCACAATCGTCAGAGTGAAACGTTATTTGTGCACATGGGAGATCAGAACCGTCCGTAAGTAGCAATATATGCTTATTTTTTTCTTTCTTATTTTTTTTTTTAGGTCACCTACATTAATTCTGTTATTTATTTTTTTCTGGGGTTTGTTTAGTTCTTAAAAACTATCACATGGCAGCAAAAACTAATGAAGTCTGACTACTGAAAGTATGATTTACTGTTTTCATGGAAGTATTTCTTATTTTTTCTTTAAAAAAAATGAAGTATATATGTTGTTTTGTGACAAGAAACAAGCAGATTATCATATCACCTTTTTTTTCTTTCTGCTAATCTTCATATGCCTTATTTTGGCTCCATGTGTGAATGAGCACATCTTGATGGATCGTCCTCCTAATTACCACTAAAAAAAAAAAAAAGTTGTAGTTTAAAAACTAATGCCTGTAACACCGGTGCCTCATGGAATTCTTAACATTTCACCTAGTGTACTTACTAAAATAGTACTGATAATGTAAAGCCTTGTCTTTCAGTCTAATTCAACTGCTTTTTTGCCTTTTTTGAAAAAGAAAAAAAATCTGGATCACGCTCTACATACCAGGTATTAGCAACTGTAATTACCAACTCTGGATCTGAGCTGCGTTAACAGACTGTAATAAGTTAAGTCGAGCAGTCGCGTTGATGCCGTGGACACACTGGGGCTGAAAACGAGCCTTTTCCTGGGAGTGACCGGACGTCATGTGACTGAGGGGCAGAGCCGATGTCAGCTGGCATCGACACTGTTAGTCCATCAAAGCTGTGCCATTCAGCTGAACCCACTGGCTGCTTTTCTTTCTTTGAATGAACCCTTTCACGTTTTTGTAAGTTACTACTGATGAAGCCTTCGGTGATGCTGCCCCCCCCTTAGAAAACCTTTTCTTCTTTTTTGGGGAGGGGGGTGAGGGCAGCGAACAGTTCTTCTCTTCTGTTTGTGTAGTTGCTATATGGATTCTTACCTGGGGGTGTAGCTCAAAACGTTCATAATATTTGTCTAATCTGTCCTGAGAAGACTTGATCAGAATTTATTTATTAGTTCAGGGTTTACTGTAGGGGTAGTTTATAGTTCTTTAAGCTTGAAAGGCGTCGCCGTGTCTTGCCTAGCGATCTTGGTACTCATTAACTGGTGTTGGGGGGCTTTTTTTTTTTTTTTTTTTTTTTTTCCTGTGCAAATCAAGTTACTGTAATTGTATTTTAATATATTTGTTAGAAATCTCTGCAGAGTATTCAAGATTTGTCACATGGAACATAGTGAAGCACTTGTTTTTTGTTTTTTTTTAGCATGCATATAGTTTCAACACTATTGTCTAGGCTGCTATTTCTTACAAATTGTGTATTTAATGTAAATATATATTATATTTATCAAATGGTTTTGTTTTCCATGTTACAACACGCATATGATGGGGAGACTCGAGGCTCCAGTCTGTCAGTGTCATGTCTTCCCCAGGGAATGGGTTTCCTTTTCCATATTCGCGGCTTTATTGGACTCCGCCTCACTACAAATCCGAGCAGTTCAGACCTCCGACGGCTGTCCAGCCACAGGAAACAGTTGTTCACAAGCACAGCCACACCGAAGCCGCTCCGGCTACCTATAGAAACGACACAATACTGGCATTGTTTTCCCCGTCCAGAGTCCCAGGTAGTTCTCAAGGGATCATTGTGTATCCCTCTCCTAGCTGCGGGGAGCAAAAGGCACTTCGTCTCTCTCTTTGCACTTTTCTGGGCTGAACGGAGCCAGTGGAATGTGAGAAATGTATTTAGCAAAGGGAGACTAAACAGGTGTATTGTTTGGAGGCATCAAAGAATGCCTTTTCTCATCCCAGCACGCAGTAGAGAGAGCCCCATTGTTCCTCTACATGGAGGTGAGGCAAGCCCGATTTGACTACCTATCTTATCAATCCAGACCATATCAGAACCATCAGAGCAGAGATTTTTGGGGAGAGAGACACCGTGTGTCCATCTCAACTTTTCTTTTGTCTTTAATAGTCAAGGCAACAAAGTGATGGGTGGTATTTGCAGAACTTGTGTTTTGCCAGCCTTTTTTTTTTTTTTTTTATTACTGCAGGAGACCAAGTAGGGAAGGGATTTATCTCCCAATGACTTCCATCTCCCGTTCACTCCCCGACCTGAGGTCAGAAACCAAGCTGGAAGGAATAAACGAAAGCACTCCCGAGGGTCAGAGAAAAACACTCTAGAACAGTGTACATATTTTAACCAGAACATAGATGCTGAGGAGTGCTGATTACACCAGTTTCAATCAGAGCACACAGGAATGTAGATTTTGTAACTTTTTTTTTTTCTTTTTTAAGGATGATTTCTATGTGGTGCGAGTAAAAAAAACTGTTTCTGTACACACGGACAATGCGAGAACAACTAATGACAATGTAAAGAACTCTTTTGTTATTATTTGAAGTCTTTATTTATACCTCCAGGATGGTCGCCAAATGTGCCTTGTAGACACACACATAGGTGTTGCATCTGGAGAAGCCCTTATTTCTATTTTGTACTTCCTTTTTCTTTTTTTCTTTTTTCTTTTTTTTGCCCTAAACTGCGGTGGTGAATTTAGAATCATCCTGTTTTTGTTTTTTTGTTTAAAAGAAATCATATCAAAATGTCAAGACAAAACTAAACAAAAAAAACAACAACTGTGTGTTTATACGTGCTGCTTTCAGAGAGAATAAATTGAGGTTTGGTTTTAAAGTTTTGTGAATAAATTTGTTCTGGATGTGTTAAACTCAAGTCAGGCATTTTTGTGTTTTGGCTTTTATCTAGCCAGTACTACTGGGAACTAACAGTCCGTTCCTTCCTTTTTTTTCTTTTTTTTTAGTCATTGTTGAATGTGAAACACTGAGATTTTGATCGACTTGAAACAGTGCTACTCTTGACTGAGGGCAATGTTTGCCTAACTCATGCTGTATGATCTTTTTAAGCCTAAAACGACTTTACTGATACTGGAATTTTGTCCTCTGCAGGTCACAACTGTGAAATTGTGTATAATCATGATAAATATTTATTATTGCGTATACTTCCTGTTCAACATTTGACTTTCTTGGTTTTGATTTGGTGCGACGAAAAAAAAGAAACGACAAAAAAAAAAACTTCTAAATGTCGAAACAGAAACTTTTTAATAGAATTTGTAGAAGTGCCATTAGAATTTAATATAATTTTTTAATAAGAAAAGTATATTTTCTAGTAATCAAATGCTTCAGTGTTAGTGGTGTAGAGATTAGATGGACAATCTTTATGCAGAATTGACATTGCTTAGATATTGAGGCAATTTACTTTTGATCTATAACTGTATGTGCATTTTCCTTGTTTTGCGCTTCTGGAGTGTGCTTGTGTGCGTGTGCTGTGGAAATGTGACAATCTTGATTTAGGTCTTTATTGAGATTATGCATAGAATTAAATGGAACAACTTTCTCTGTTTGTGTGGAGCTCATTTATTTCCCACCCCACGCGTCCGCAAACGGGCTGACCGGGCCCGTGGGCGGCTCCGCGGTGTGTACAGAGACAACAGAATGTGATAAAGCTGCTGGTCTCTCAGACCCTACCCCTCTGAAACCATAAACTGAGCTCAAGGACGGAGCACGCCCGAGATGGGCTGCCATTGTTGGCGACCTGTTGCCAGTGCTCGCACAGGAGATAAAAACCCGGCAAAGCCAATCCGGTTCTCCCTCACGCAATCGTTGCTTTAACTAACTGGAATTCTGTCCGCCTTAGCCTCCTTAACTGCGCACTATTTGTATGTAAACACGCACATACCAAATGTGTGTCTAATTGAGGAGCTTCATGCCAATTCACTGGACATTTTCAATGGCAAGGACTTTTAATTATTTCCCTGCAGCACCATGAAAGAAATCCAGCTGCTCTGCTACGTGATCCCAATAGGGATGTGCTCGGGTTCCCACCACCCTCCCCCAAATCCCAGCCCGCCCGCTCTGGGAAACGCCGCGCAGACAAGGGGCTGCATCCAACTAACCCCTTCCCCCCCCCCCCCCCCCCCCCCCCCCCCCCCCCC